GGCTTTTAATGACCTGTTCTTCCTGATAGTTTTCTCTTTTACAGAAATCACTGGTCCTTTTATTATGATAATCCTTGTTTCCCTTCTTAGTATGTATATATATACAACATGTGAATACATGCTGAGAATATGTTCATGTACAAGTTTAAAAAAAAAATGTAAAGAAAGGACCAGAACATAGCCTTTATGATGCCAACACAGCAGGAGTTTACACAAAATGCAGTCCCTCTTCACAATTCATAAACATTACACTTTCAGACAATACTGTGCCTTCAACTTAATCTTCTTGTGATCCTCAGTAGCTTCACAATCTCCTCCCTAGTATCAATAATCACTTTAAATTAAAACACTATATGAATAACAACAGGTTCCCACCCCTTCATTCTGGGGGCATTCCTTTTGATTTGACATTTTATTCCACTGCAATTTATAGCAGGCTTTTTTCCATATGATTCTAAACAATTCAGTAGTCACAACAACGAGATTTATAATCTCACTGTTTCTTCCCCTTTCCAAATGGTTTATTAATGTAATCAATAACACAACACAGCATTATTGGAGGACTCCACATGCTGTCACTTTCTGCTGAAGAAACAATTTAATTCTAACTAGAGGATACATTTCCAATACACCATAAACCTGATGGACAGTTCTCGTAACAAGACAGAGGACCAGTAGTGGATGACCATTTGTCAAAATTGTTCAAAATGTACTTTTACTCTAGTCAATAAAAAAAATTACACTCAAAATTAACATACTCAGGTTTCCAAAGACCTATGGGTGCAGACGTGCTTTAAGCATAAGGTATCTGTAACTGACACAGTACATCATACTTCAAGAAAATCATGAGCAAACGATTACGTTTTAAACAGCACACTTTCACTGAAAACAAAGGCAGGGGGAACAAGAGCAGATAAAAAATGTCAGAAGCTCACAGTGACCCAGCTATTTCTAAATTAAGTGCCAACAGGAACTGCAAAGATGTACTTTACTACACATGAAGATGTCATTATCTTCAGACAAAAGAAAAATCCTTTTTGTTTCCCTTGTGGTTTCTTCTAATAGCTCAGAGATTTCACCTGTTCTGACTTAGCAGACTGATTTCCTTTATTGATTTCTTTCAGGTCAGTCTCTACAGCAAACTTAATGAAGCATTCCCTCTGGCTCTATGTCCATCCAGACCACAACTAGCCTGGCCTAAGCTAAAGAATTTTGACAACAGAGATGCCTGCCAAGATGCTGCAAAATGAAAATGTCATTTCAAGTTCCTAAATATGCATCCAGTTATTTAAATAATGAATAGGAATAGTAGTTCCCACACTGAGTAGACACTATAGCTATCCCTGAATTAAACAGGGATTTAAACAGAAATTACAACCACCTGTCTAGTGTTTCTCTTTAATAATGACATTTCATTATTCATGTGGCACAGTCGTAGATTAATTATATCTTCAAGGATATTTCAAAACGCTTTAGCAAGTCCTTGAAAACATCATTGCAGTATTTCACGGACATTAAGTTTTGAAGCATCAATTTGGTTTCTGGGAAAAGCAGCTTTCAGTCATACTACTTGAAATACATGATTTTTTAAGGGCCAAGATCAACAAAAACATTGAATCACAAGTATGCTGTGCCTGAGGTGTTCTACTGGATGAGAAAATCCTGGGGAGAGCAACAGCAGTCAGTTCACAAGATATAACATTCTCAGTTGTGTCCAACCAATAGCTCTACAAACTCAAGCACTAGCATGGCTGCTTGAGAACAGCATTGTAACATTTCTCAGGTAATACTGCACTTTCCCGTGTCACTTCCGGAAGTTGCTCCAGAGTATTTCTGTAATTTACCTCTTGCACCTCTGTACAGGTCAAAGATCTGAGTGGTCAAGTTCCCAGCTTTCTCTTTCCCTCCTTCCTCCTCTTGTAAAAGGTCCCAGCTGGTTCCAGTTTTCTGGGTGTCAATTATTGTGAAGATTTTAAAGGTACATGCTTTCTTGTTTTCTTAAAATCAGATTAGCTTCTCAAGGGATGGGCTTCTTCTCTTCTTTGATGGGAAAGTACTGCAAATGCAGGACCTGACTGTGAGAAGGCAAGTGAGGTGGGGGTGGGAATGAAGTTACTGCTCTGAAATGGTGCTGTTATTCACAAAATCAGCTCCTTTCCCCAGGTTACAGCAGAAGAGCAAGGGCATCATTACTGATTCAGAAAGCTAAAAGGCTGCTTTATCATTAAATGGTCTTCTTGCCTCAAGCAAGCATTTTCCCTGCCCTAAATGCTTACTTATAATCCCACTTGCAGAACTGCACAACATAAGCTCTATCGTAAGTGTTCTGAATCTTTGGGATTGGCAGTTCTGTCCTTTTGTGTTGAGGCAATCAACTGCATGGCTCACTTAAGTAAAAAATACCACAAATGCTAAGTAGCTGCAAATTCATGTGGAATTGATAAAACAACTAGTCAATACAAATATGTTTTAGTATGTTTTACATGTTATAGCTCTTAATAAAGATGTTTAGATTAAAAAACACATTTATTTGAACTTACAACACCACCTCTTGATGGGCAACTGAGGCACTACAGGTGATTTCTTTGGACTGATGAAGGGTTCTTAAGCAGTAATTCCTTTAAGAATTTCAAGGTGCATGGACAAGTAATGTGATTTCAGGGATGGCATACGAGCCAGGTGAAAATGGCCAACTGCAAAAGCCATGCAACGACCTACATAGTCTGTCTCCAGACAATTGCTATTTTCAGGATACAGGAAGGGTTAAAGCTTTCAGAAAGACTCAACAGAGCAAAACTAAGAATTTACTGCATTCTTACCTATAAATTTAAAACATGAGATGGTTTTCTTTTCAAATGTTAGAAGTTCTGAGCCTGTGATAATTGGTACTGAATTTTCTCAAAGTCCAAACACAACTTGCCCTCCCTCTTCAGAACTCAACAGCTGAACTGTATTTTCTAATATATATCATCACAAACACAGAAATTGAAATTATGCTCTTTACAGCCATGTTCAAGGTCCTCAGATTTTGTTACTACTACTACTATTTTTACAGTGGAGTCAATGGTCACTAAAAACAGACTGCCAAACCTAATCCTAGTATTCATTGATTTAAATCCACTATCACAAAGTGGATCTCAGAAAAATTATTTTCCGTACTGAGCATGATAGTTTTGGTACTAATTCATTGTTCTTGCTCTGCTAAAAGGCTGAATCACATTTGAACTTTGACTACATGTATGCAATTTTTAAGCTAATCAACAATTAAGCTGTTCATTTGCTGCAAAAGAGCACTTTTTGGAATTTCCATAGGTTGGTGAAAATTTAAGCAGAAATATAACCATGAGGATGACAATATTTCTCTGAATGGTGTGATTTCAGTCATGCAAAGGCTTCATCTATAAAAGGAAAAATCAGTTTAGTGTAATACCTGTCTTTGATAAGCCAAATATATAATGAAAATTAGGAAATGAACTCATTAGCGAATTTTTTTCTGGTTCAGCACCAGGTTTCATACTTTTGACCAAACTTTTGGAAATAGAAAAAATTGCCTGTCAGATTAATTTTAAAAAATATTATCTTTAGGTTTTAAAATCTAAAGCTGTAAGGAAAAAAAAATTAGAACAAAGAATAATGAGGACAAGACATAGCATAGCTTGTTTTGGGGAGAGTGCTTTTTGTTGTACTTTAAAAGATAGTTATATTGAATATATGTCAGGCACAATTAATAAGAGATTTAACTTATAGAAAATGTTGTTGATAAAGAAAGGCATGGCTGAATTCCATTGCTTCAAGATGTACATAAACTGCACTACAAATGACCTTCATACTAACAAAGACCTGGCCTGCATTAATTAAGAAAAACACAGCATGCTCAGAGAAGGAGCAAAGAATGCAACTGTAGATACTGATTATTTTAATTTATAATTGACAAGGGTGCACAGATCACACGACGAAGCTGTTTGTGCAGCTCCGTGAAAGCTGTGATGCCTCACAGTAGTTCCTGATTCAGATATCAGACACGCAGGCATGCAGGTACAGTGCACTGGGAGACCAAGGGCACTAACATTGCCCCAAGGCCATTTCAACTGCCTCTGCTTTCAAACAAGAGTACTCACATAACCTGTGCTACTAAAGGAGTAAACATTTCAGTTTCTTTTATGAAAAGTAATCCGGTTCCACTGCTTTGAACTGGGTCATCCAGACTGACTCATTTTTTGTCACATACCTTGCAAAGAACTATTACAGCATCATTTTGAAAGATAAGTTTAGTACTGTTCCCATACATTAGCAAAATATTCCAACTTGAATGGCTAAAAAATGCCGAAATTTTCTCAAATTAATTTTATATCTTTATTTTTTATTTTGTATCTTTTACTTTATTACCAAAGGTTAGTCACATGTATTTTATTCCACTGCTAAAATAGGAACTGAGCTAGTAATGTCAGTATTACTACTACAGAGAAAAAAGTACTTCTCTTAATGAAGACAAGGTATAAATTTCCTTTGCTAATGCAATTAGCAAAAACTTCTTTTTTTAAAGAAAAGCATAAGAAAACAAAACAAAACCAAAAAAGAACTGCACTGTAGCACTGAATAAAAGCAGGAGTATTTTCACACACAGCCATACTCTGTGCCACAAGTGCCATTAAGCAATAGCAAAGCTCTCACTAGCCCCCTGTACATGAGAACATTTCAAAAGCACTACTCTTAAGCAGCAATGTCAGAATACTTCCTTAGGAACGGAAAACAGATCACAGTCAGACATTCCCTCAAATGCTTATTACACTTTGTACTCATTGCCAAAACAAGCTTTCCAAACTGCCCAAGACACAGTGGAACACTATCATAAGATAGAGTAATGTTTTAGCTTAATGAAAAGAGCACATTATTTCTATTAATATTTCTTAATACAGAATTCATTTTTAGCTCTGCGAATGTATGAGTCTTTTTTCAGATCCTACGAAAATATGAACAAAAACAAACCTATTTTTTCATACCATTAGTTTCTGCAAATTTCTGTATATCAGCCAGAGTTTTCAGTTCTTTCCTTGGGCAAGCTGATACACACAGGGCAATAGACTTAATCTTCTGATGTACTAGATCAATGTTGCATGGATCCAAGAAGAATACATACCTATGGAAGGAGAAAAGGTAAATTACTTCTACTTTAATTAACAATTACACTGAACAAAATTTCAAACTATGGGATTCAATCAAGACTGACTGATTCCATCTACGCAGAAACACAGGAAATTTCATATTATTGCAACTGCATGGAATAAAAGAATTTATGCACTTAACACATGCATAACAGTGTATGGGTATTTATATATCCATATTTATATACCTCTGGATCACAGAGAAAGAATGTTTAACTCCACCTGATTCAAATCCATTCAAATGGTGCTACTCATAAAAACAGCAGTAGTCCCACCATGCCTCTTCACAGATATGAACATTCACAAATCTTTCCTCAAACCTTAAACTTGACTTAAGAGAATCACAATTTTTTTTTCCAGAAAGACCCAACAAACCAAATAAAGTCACTCTTATTCTGCAAAAAGAAAAGGTCCATGGCTAAATTTATGAATATACATAATACCAATAATTAAGAACAGTTTAATAGATTGATTTTCCATGCCATGACTGAACAGATTACTTTAGTATTTACTTAGAAATAAAACTCCTTCCAATATTTCAAGTAGTATTATCTAATGTTTAAGTGCAGTATTTTAAAGAGAATCTACTTGCTAACTTTTTACAATGAATGTAATTTAAAAATCCAATGCATCAAGTACATATTACAGATTCTTAACAAACATCTCTTGGCTGTACATGCTTTATGACAAACACTAACCCTACAGAATCTTCACTGATGCTATAATAGAGATGTTTTTCTCTTTCAAAGTTGAACAAATCTTAAACCCCTATAATTCTGGTGATGCACTATGCGTTGAAATATTCTCTTCATATTACCTAACATCGTCATACGAAAACAGCAGAAATCTGCCATATAAAATGCCATTTCTAATTTTGCAGTCCTTATGATGGGAATTCATTCTGTAACCAGTAAAAATCTCTTTCGCTCCTAGAAAGCATTTATGTCCTCCCTAAACACCTTAAGTTTATATGCTAATTGCTGTCTACTGTTCTATTACCCAGTGTCACTGTACAAAAATGATTACTACATAGTACAGTCTTCCTTGAAAGTCCATCAAAACTCATGTCATCTAAATCAACCATAACATGGTAAAAGATTACTTGAATTCTTAAAACATTCCTTTCTTTGTTAACATCACAGTGAAATCATCCACCTCTATTTCTTTTTTACTTACTACCCACTACACATCTTGGGACTTCACAGACAGACCACCGAAGTCTGAGAAACAAGTGTAAATATGAAAATTCTGTCGTAGAGACACAGTAAAAGTAACTGTATGCAAGGAATAAGCCAGTTTTCCCTTATTTCAAAGAAAATACGCTTGAATTAGTATCAAGACTTACAACAGTTGTTTTAATTGAAGTTCCTCCAGTTGTTATCCCATGCAATAAGGGTAAATGGCAGGAGGGTGTATACTTCTTTGAGGGTATTTGGCCAAAAGAGCTACAAAGTAGAACCTACAGAGTCAAACCTAACTGATACAGCAAGGGAGGCTAGGATGGGAACAAACTTGGTCAGTGCCACTAATTGATAAAGATATGTGGGTTATGAAAATAGTGATTTTTCAGTAAGACTATCTGGCTAAGGACCTTGCCAAATTGAGATAAGGGAAAGGAGGGAGACAGACATACAACTTGTCCACTCAATGTTAATAAAAACAATAATCAAAAACAAACCCAGTAAATGACAGTAATTAAGGGGCTCCCAAGAAACTGCAGACACGGACTTTGCAACTGATAGGGATGCAAACTCCTAAGTGCAGAATGTAGGAGGAGTCAGTGGGACCCTGCCAGCAGCTCAGGGAACATGCACAGGACAGGGCAGCAGACAAGGGTGTAAAAGTGAACAGTTGCATGCAAGTTGATGTTGGTCGATACATTATCTGACCTCAGCACTGATCACTGCAGTCTATCTTGTCCTATTACAAAAGTTTTTAACGCTCTCTCTGCATAATTATAGTCTCTATCCCATGTGCACAGATGCTGCAAGTGCTACAGGGATTAAGTATCAGCTACTGAGGGAACTGACATGGATATGAGGGATTTGATGCCAGCAACTGGAATCAGACCAGAGGTTCAAGTGCCAAAGGACTGTGGCATCAGCTATCAAAGTAAGTGGGGTCTCAGTGCCAGTGTCAGGGAGAAGTCTTGGCAATGAGTGCTGGGGTGGGAATAATGTGTGCCCACAAAAAAAGTAGCTATAGAGGTGATAGACTCAGCACCACTCAGGTGGTCACATCCTTTGTGGTGCTGCAGCTGAGCACCTGTACCTTCTCCAGAACAGATCTATGCACATTATAGAATCACAGAAAATCCTGAGTTGGAAGGGACCCACAAGGATCACCGAGTCCAGTTCCTGGTGTAACTCACTAACAAAATCCAAGCCATATCAGATGGTGAGTAGGCAGCTCTAGATGAGAAGTGTTGGGTGGGCAGAGGGTCTGTGGTGTTATTTGGGGCAAACTGGCTCTGGGTTGCTTGTGGAATGAGCGCATGAGTGTTTGATACTTAGCACTAAACCAGATCAGCTGCTAAGCAGGGGAACCCATAAGGTGAATAAGGTGCCATGCTGTTACTTGGAGAATCTGCAAATGTATGTGAGCTTGTGAACCTGGAAAGTGTCACACGTGTGCCTACACTAGTGTGTCACACTACTAGTGTAGTGCCTACACACTAGTGACCTTCTGCCACTGTCAGCCCGTGAGGAAGAGGGGACATGGTTGGCTGTGTTTGTGAAGCTGGAGGCAACACCTTGTCACTGCCAGTCTCCGTAACCAGTTATGTCAATGTCCCATATGTTACTGTCCTTCTACATCCTCAGCCTAGGCAGAGACTCTGAGTTCTGGGAGCTGTAGGACTGGACTCTAGTTCCTGAACAGGAGGGTCCTCTGAATTTCCCTAAGGAAACCAAATCAGGAATTTCACCATTAGCAAGCTCGAACTCATCCCACTTCTACAGTGATTTCAATTCAAGGGTCAAGCTATCATTTTAATTACCAGAATATGTTGTAAAATAAACACTACAATTCTAACTCAAACCTGGAAGTCTAGAAATACACTGCAATTACAGCATCGTATGCAGTTCTGACAGAAGTGTGGGCATAGCCTTAAACAGCATATATAATTCAAACACTGCATTGGTAGATAGACAGTTCTGACAGCAGTAAGGGAGAAAACTCTAGGCTATCAAATCTGTGGCTTCAATCTGTGGCCTTGGAAGATGCAAGTGAGATAAGTAAGATTATCTCAGCTAAAACAAGAACCAAAATTCTGGGAACCACCATTACAGAAGAAAAGTTAAATTTTGTTTATAACGCTTACGTGTAGAAAATAAGTGATTTTACTGCAGAAAATTTCATACTGTGCCACCACAGGACAGGTTTTGTTTCTCTCTAGGAGAATGTCATTACTAGCTTCGTGCTGCAATTTCAGTTATTTACAATCAGCAACAGACTAATTTTCTAATAAGGAACTAACTTATATCAGCAATACTAAGAGTGACGTAAACAAAGTAATCATGATGTTAGAGATGCTTCAACTGCAAATGAAAATATGCTTGCTATTTGAAAAATCAATATATTAGACTTACAACATATGTACATTTATGCATCTTTATGAAGTATCAGCCCTGTAAAGAAGGACTTGGAGGTACAAGTGCATGAGAAATTGGACATGACCTGGCAATGTACACCTGCAGCCCAGAAAGCCTGGTGTATCCGAGGCTTCATAAAAAGAGGCATGACTACCAAGGCTAGTTTTACTCTGCCCTCAGGGGCGTCCCTCAGCTGGTATACTGCACCCAGCTCTGGGATGCCCAGTACAGGAAAGACATTAACCCAGCACAAGTGCAGAGGGGACCTCTGAAAATGATGAGAGGGCTGGAGCATATGAAGATGTGCTAAGAGAGTTGGGTCTGTTCATCCTGGAGAAGAGAAGGCTGTGGAGACACCTTTTGGCAGCTTTCCAGTACTTACAGGGAGCTTCTATAAAAGACAAAGTGACTTTTCACAGAGGCAAATTGTGAAAGGGGGAATGGCTTTAAATTAAAAGAAGGCAGAAATAGAATGACAGACTAACTTTTGTTGAAAAAGACCCTTCACATCATCTACTTTGACTGTAAATGCACTGCCAAATCCACCACTAAACCACGTCCCTAAGTGCCAAATCCACACTTTCAAGTACCTTATTTTAAGTATCTTTTAAATACTTCCAGGAATCGTGACTCAACCACTTCCCTGGGCTTGATAACCTTTATGGCAAAAAAAAATTTTGTCATAATGTCCAGTCAAAACCTCCCCCTGCACAGTGTGAGACCATTTCCTCTCATCCTGTGACTTGTTACGTGGGAGGGGAGACTGACTGCCTCCATCCTTTCAGGGAACTATAGAGCAATAAGGTGAAACCAAGATCTAGTAATCTGAACATAAATAACACTTAGACAAAGCTAGCATCTTAAATATTACCTAAAAATTAACAGCTAGACTGTACAGCCCATAGGGTGTGTAATAGGAGGCATATGATAATGACCATATTGCAACATGGTGTACAGGACCAAGAGAAGCCCCCGCAAAAACCAGCCTAGGAGGATATGCAGGTAACCACACGGCAACCACTTGGTAACACAACAGCAAACCAATGAAAAGCAAGACCACTCCAGGCCCTAATAGTGCTGTTGGTCCAGGCGATCATGGAAGGGAAATAATTCCCCAGGTCTTTCTTTGTTCAGGTTCTCTTTTTTCAAGGCACATAGATTGAGCTACCAGATATCACAATTGATCTGTGCCGTCTAATGGAGATGAGAGTCTAGAGTCAAAAATTTTTTCAACAGTAGACCACATACAGTTTCACTCAAATTCTCTGTGTACATGCTGCAAACCATCCCTGGGTTTTCCCATTACCTAAACTTCAAGCATTTCCTGGGGTCAAAGGCATGTGCTCAGGCAGAATACCACCCTAGCATTCTCCATAGCATCACATGCACATCTCCTAGTACTTGAGTAGACAGCAAAAACTGAATTCTGTCAAAATAACAATGCATTAGCGACCAAAAACCAGACTGAACTAGTATTTCAGAGACTTACATTTGGCAGCTGTGATTATCATTTATTTGCAAATAAAAGGTCATTTTTAACCCCTTATAACTACACCAGAACTTGTAAAGCAAGAAGCTTACTTGAAGCAGATAGGTTTAACTAGAATTCACTGCCAGAGCTACAGTATAATCCAATGTCTGACTCAAGAAAACAGACTACTAAACTATGTTGTGGTTATTATGTAAAAATAAAAGGATGCCTGGCCCACTCTTTCTTTACGGGACCAGGTTGTAAAATCCTCCTTCCCAATATTTCATCTCACTTCTTTCAGCTTTTCTGACGTACACACAGCAAATCTCTGAGAACTCTGCTCTTCACCCTTACCACACAGATTTCCATATCCACGTAGACCACATCAATTTCACTTCCACATGACAGTGCCTATGAGTTGCTGTCATATACAAGGAAGAAAATGTTATTTTTACAGATGATTTAGCTTTTCAGCCCTTGGACTAGGAAATGAAAATGGAATTACCCTGCAAGCAAAATGAAATGAGAATAGCTTCATGTTTCCAGAGCTCTATTTGTGGAGCTTAAAAGTCTTTTCTTTCTCTACACAAACTGAAATGTACAGGCAAGAAGAAGTTTTATTTTTACAGTCTGTCTGCAAAGTGCTCCTATATAAATAGCATTAAATATTCCCGTGAACTCCACCTCAGATACTGTAGGAACTCCATCTGCTAGAGACAGATGCAAAGCAGATAGCTTTTTTAATTTGCTTGGCAATTTTTCAGAGGAAACTATGGGGTGTGAGAAAAGGAAAGATCACTCACTTATATAGGGACAAATCTCTTCCCAAAGTGGATGCCCTGGACTATACCAGGCACTTCATGCGAACAGTTAAAGAATAATTTTGTTCAGCAGAGGGTTTTCTCTTATCCAAATACAGATGATGTAATTCATATGCATGTATCTATTAATCTGCTTAGATCATGCCTCAAGCCACAACATCTTTGTTATAAAGCATAATTCCTTTGAATCTCATTAAGACTTCTTGACAAACAACAGGCTCTGTCAATTAGCTGTGTTAAAAAGACTCTTTTTAGCCGCTGTCTTTTGAGCTTGCATTACAAGAGGAATTTATTTAGTGGTAGATGTTTCCCCACATGATGGTCTGACATGTCACATGTAGAAGACTATCACAATATTAATTATCACATTTCAACAAGGTGTCTGATTTTCTCTACCTTCACATGAACTCAGACACATTTCTTTCTAAAGGTAAACTTAAAATTATGATTTTAAAATTTTCATTTTTTCTCAGAACACTAGAATCACAATTTTGTACATGGGTTTAGAAAGTGCTAAAATGTTTATGTAAAAAAATAGGAAAATTATGCTACATAATCTTTAAGCCTTTCAACCTTCTTAAATATGCGATTAAATTAAGAAATAACTTTTCTGACAAAAGATATCTGTAAAAAGTTCCAGACATTTTATTCACCTCAAATCTTTCTGGAAACCACCAATTAACTATCTACATTAAATCTTAAATGAGATATTTAGAAGTCTTAAGAATAGCAACTCAAAATAAGCAGATCTCAAGAAAGACGTTTCCAAAATAACTTATGAAAATAATCTATTTTCTGTTAGTCTGAAAAAGGCTATCATACTCAGAAATTAGTAACTTTTTAGCTCCTTGAGGTAACTGACAGTGAAAAAAACATTTATTTTGTCAATTAATATCACTGTACTAAGCTAAATAGTTTACTTTCTTAAGTTATCCAAGTTGTACAGAAGGACTCTGAGATTGTCTGACTGACAAGACAGACCTCAACAGACATTCACAGGTATTCAACCTGTCAGTGCAGAATTCTTGCCACTGCTCCAGTACTGCTACTGCAGTGTGCTGCGCACCTCTAAAGTTTCATCCATTTTTTCCACAAGTCATATACCTTCTGCCTACAGTTTAAATTTTAAAGTCTTATTCTAATGTGCCAGATGTATCTCACCTCCCCTTATACCTAGTTGGCAGAAAACAAGCATACATCAAAAGCAAACACTGATATCAAAGCCTGCCCCCAAATCTGAGAATACTTGTCACACCTAAAACTCTAACAAACAAGACTTTTCAGCAGCCTAGAACAATATCCTACAAAACGGATATCCGATGAAGTGGATACTGAGGAAAAAGTAATTCCTCAATGTCTTAGCAGTATTCATATTGCATATCTGCCAACATATAGTCTAATGTTGCTGGTTGTCACGAACGACTGCTGTCCTCTAAGTGAGAAAAGTGTCAAAGGACAAGTAGGAATGAGTTAGCATATCCCTTTTGTTTAAAACCACCCCCAAAGAAAGGTTTTGCCTTTCCTGGTTTACAGAATGCAAAAATTGTATCACATACTTACTTCTTCTGTGTGAGGTCCAGACCACTGTTGACTATTCCCTCCACCTTGACATTTTTCTGTCCACAAATATTTCCGTAACTGTCATATCCTGAAAGCAGTCTTGCAGCTGCTCCTGTAGCTATTGAAAAGCCACAGATAAAACCCTGGAGGAATAAAAAACCCCCACAGTTTAGAAATACTCTGTCTGACAGCTGAGAAAAGACAGTTTTATTAATTTATTTCTAAGCAGAGGTTGTCTACAAAGTCTTTCAGACTGGAAAAGGAAAGACAAGGATTATCACAGAGAACCGTTGTGCAATAATAAAACTGAATGCAAGCTAAAAGAGGATTCAGACATCTAACACTAGATATTATAAAAGCACAGTTAAGACTCCTGTATGTGGTTTATTTGAAAGTCATATTGTCAGCAAGTGGGCATGAAGCAGAAGGGAAAAGTCAGCAAGTGGGCAAGGGCAGGCAGCGAAGGAGAGCTACAAGCAGAGATGGAGTTATCAAGGATTGCTATCCATCTTAGATAATTCCACACAATCCAGATTTGCTTGCTGTCAGATTTCTTTTCTTTCCTTTAAATCAAATACTTTCAAATATGTGCTAGAATGAAGAGGCCTACCTAACGCAAGTTTCTTTTAAGGAAATCCTCTTAAAGCAAGTGACCAGGTAAAGGTCACTACGGTTTTAAATGCAAGAAAGAAACACAAAAAAAGCAAGATAGTTCAGACCAAGTAATATGGAAAATACCATAAGCAGGCAGGTCTTGCTGTGAACTTTCACTGATATTTCACAAGCAAAACCAAGATTAAGGCAATTACTGTGCAAACAAGAGACTGGCCCAAAAGTTTCATTAGCAAACCACTGACAAGGAAAAATGAACCATCAGCTCACTCCCCTACCACCAAGGAACTGATTTTACACATGAGACAGGCTAAAGTTTGAGAAATGGAAGTGGAATAAACAGCTGAGACAGGTGCATGGAGCAATAGATGGCAGGGGCAGGATCAGATTAAATGATGACAACAGGTAATGACATTGTCATGGAACAGTGAAAATGTGGGTAGTTCACCCTGCAAGTGAAGTTTCCTAGAACGGTAACGATGTGACTCAGTGAGATGACTGCTCTGTATATTACATTGCTTATACAGGAAAATGTGGGACACTCATACACTAATTTATAATTGGGGGAACAGGTAAGTATAACCAAATAATCAGGGAACATCAACAAAACCAGAAAAAAATACAAATGCAAAAGAGAGCTACTTGTTTCAGGAATGCTGTGCTTTTTGCAATGTTAAGACATTCACATTATAGTGACACCATAATTCAAATTATTTAAAATAATGATTATAATTTTTACATTTGAAGCCCAGCAATTGAAAAAAACACCAAAGTAGAATAAATTTTTCAGTGGAATTACTCCAAACACCAGAGAAAGAGACAGAGCAGAAAAGAAAGCTGAGCACTTAAGTCCCAAACTCCCTTAAAGACACCTGCTTGCAACACAGCAGTTGCAAGACAGCAGTAGGTATTTTCCGTTTAAGAAGAGTAGCAAACACAGGTCCATGAAACAAAACAAGACGGAAAGAAGTGTGCTTGTAGTTTTCATTAATCTGCAGCTTTTGGAGGTTTGGTCTTTTAATAAAAAGTGTAGAGGGTTCTGAGGCTGACTTGAAAAAGGTGATGATGATTTCATCACAGGGGACAGAACTGTTAAAACTTTGAAAGAAAGATCTTATAATTAGTAATATGATTGTTAACAATAGCTGCTTCTATTAAGTATACAATAAAAATAAATTAATTAACAAATAAACAAAAACCCAGTTAACTGCGTGATAGTCAGAATCTTTCAGAATGTTTCTTACAAAAAAGTTTACTGTGATTCATAGAATTGTTTACCAGACTCCCAGCATCATTTCTGGGACATGCAGAGTCCCATAAGGAACACGAGTCAAGTGATAATTCACCATGCTGAAAAATCACTTATCACTGAGATTGCAATTTCAGGGGAAGAGAAGCTGGAGCAAGAACTGGCACCAATCATAAATTATGGATCCTTACCAAAGGCCTTTGATATGTACATACTATCCATTTCTGTTCAACGGCTGAGGCATGTATCAGAAATATATCCCAATCTTTGCCAGTGATTAAGTTACTGACAGGTTTTTAAATTCCTTTCTTACGAACACAAACTCTTAAAGGATATAACACTTACAAAATCTTCTGAGTTTTACTCACCATTCCTATGCAGAAGAGGATAAATAAGAGCAGCCATGGTACATCTGTGCAGCTGTGGTCTTCCAGAGGCTTCCACTCTCGCTTGGAACTCTTATGTGAGAAGAGACAGATGAGGTTAACAACAATAATTGTCTGCTCATAATAGAAAAAGGCAGAAAATTATCCTACAGGTAATTTACCTACAGCAGGAGCCATCTTCAAATGCCAAGATAGTTGAAGAAGCTTGTTTGAAAGACTTAAAGAGTAAGGCTCATGTAAGATTCCAAAAGGAGTGCCTCCACAGCAGCTAGATCACCAAATAGTAATTTACCCATCAAAAAGTTAATTTATCCAGAAATTTACAGATATTTATCCACAAAACAGATTATTTTCACTTGTCTTTTTATTAACAGAAAACAGAAATTAATGGCATGAAATCGACAATATCTCCAGTTGCAGTCTTCCACAGCTATCTTTCAGAAATCTGATTTCCAGGAAGGATAAATGATTAAACTTCTCAAAAACCCCTAAGTTTTCAAACAGTGTTGGCAGGCTGAACAAGAACTATGCATGTAGAAAGGAGGCAATAAATTACTGTTTAAGGAACAGTTTTCTACCTGCCATAAGGCAGCTGAACTCAACACTTCTGTGAAGAAATCCTTCATCTGTATTGCCATGGTACCAGAAAGGAAAGTTGTATAATTAAAGGTTGGAATACTCAATGATGGAGGTAGTTGTAAGCAATTCAGATAGTTTGCTGCTCATGAGGTAAAAATCCTTAAGTATGCATACATTGCTAAGATAATTAGAGTCTTATAAACAGTCATTTAGGCAAAAAGGTTTCAGGAAAAGAATAAGCACAAGCTGTAGTACAAAACCAACCACCAAATCAGAAATAGTTATAACAAAAATAATGATTACAGCTACTTCTAAAAATATACAGTTACACAGACAAGTTTTTTCAACAGACTCCTAGATAGTGAATCTTCAGATATATCGACTGAGACCCAAAAACTGCAGACACTGTTTTAATCTCTGAGGAAGAAAAGGAGATTGATATAAGGAGACTACATACACAGCTGTTCTCTCCAGAGACAGGGCAAAGGGGATAACCTATTCAAATTTTGGGGTTTTTTTTTCTCTTAAGACTCTAAAGAATCTTCAAAATTTTGCTGACAAGGTAGCAAATATCAGTGCTGAATTAAAACTGAATGGATGGATGAAATGTCAACAGCTTTTATCTCCATTATGTATTTTGCATATTTTTAATTTTAGAAAAAAGCAATAGCATGTAACTTATATGATATTAGCAAAAAGATTTTTTTTTTGTATTCATGACTTTGGCTTTTTTTAATTCACAAGCACAAAGAAACCTTTTCAAATACTACTATTAGAAGCTAAAAACTGGGTAAACAAATGAAACCCTGCAGGCATCACACTTCAAAAAAAATGCTGCTTTCTAAGTAGTCCAGCTTTGCATTACGGAATTCCATATTAATTTTTTGCAATATTTTATTAAGGAAGTTCCACTTACAGATGTGATAAACACTGTTTTAATTCAAACCGCAAATTCTCTGTAGGTTCTGAGCAGTCAAACTTCTTCAGATTTTACTCAATAAATTTTACTCAGTAGTGAGAGATGGTAAAAGGTCACATTGTACACTGTACAATCCACATTCAACAAAACTGAATTTTCTGATCCTGGCAGTTCACGCTTAAAACTAACACACTCTTCAAACTTAACATTTACAACTCGATTGTGACATTTATGTTGCTATAATTAGCATAATCATAATTGCATAAAATATGTAAGGCTTCGTGCTTCCTATTCCTAAACTCACTTCAAGAACTCTAGATTCATTAGAAATTGACTTTTATTTACAAACAGCAGAGATAAATTTCAGCTACAGCTGCTGTCTTATGAGCAAACTGCCCTTGGCAAAAGAGGGAGCAGCAAAATGCACTGCAGTGTGTGCCTTGTTTTGTTGGTTTGGAGTTTTTTTAATCTTCTCTGTACCATCTGCATACGAAATCTTTTAATAGGATTTTTTAAAGCCTCTAGAATAGCTCTGGCATGGTTTTCAGTTGCCTGGCTAGTCACAGTTACCATAAGTAATCCATTTTACTTACTAAGTGGACTGCAATTTATATGTCAGAAAGAAACTTCAGATGCCATTAAATAGAACATAGTCAGAAAGTTACATGATACATTAATTCTCTGTCTATTTTCTATTTTGTTCTATTCTGTTCTATTTTGGGGGCAAAAAAACCCCCAAAAATAACTTCAGAAAAAAAAAAAAAGTCATTAACGAAACATAATTAAAACAGACAAACAAACAAAACCCCAAACAACAACAACAAAACCCAGGAAGGTATTCTAAACAAAAAGTATCCTTGGAGGAAACTCAACAGCTACTAGATACTTACTAACTTACAATTTAACCACCTAGCATGGTAATAAGGTTTGAAATTATATTTGTTTAAAATTATCTTCAGACCTCACTAAAACCCAAGCTAGCTACCATTATCTGTCTACTGTTTTCTTCCCAGTTGCTTCCTTGCATTCTGGATTCCCAACGAATCCTCTTCCATAGCTTCACAGTCCTTTATCCTTGTCTTTGATGTTGCTGTGTCTCTCCAGTGATCACTCTGTCTACTCTACACCCTTAGACATTTACTCAGACTGATTTTCATGCTTTAGCAATATAAATTGTCAGTCCATGGTCAACATAAGGTCTAACAAATGTTGTTTGTTCTGCAATCTGTAAACTATGCTTTGTCTCCATTGTGACTGAAACACCATAACATTTTAGCAGACATGCTTTGCCTGAAATCCTAAATCAGCACTTCTGCTCATTTCAGATTTTCTTCCAGATAGATTAGGAACCTGCAGTATTTGCTTATGCAAGAAAGCTAGAGAAAAAAATGGAAATTATTTGATTCATGTCAAGTTTTCCCTTAAAACAGAGCTTTCATAATTCATAGTATGCTCTCTAAGGATATTCTTGCCATTAACAAAGCATGCACTGTCATGAAAGCATAGAAAATCTGGAGCACTATCAAAGAGAAGTGGAAGGTTGGCAAACCAGTCCTTCTCTCCAAGACAAACTTGCAGGTTGGGAACATTTCCTGTTCATAACAGCTTTTCTGTACTGATTTTACAAGTTGCTTACTCAAGAATCCAGACGAGTGTGACCAGAAGTTTACATTTGTCCATTTTGCACAAGACTTAGCAAACTCAAAACCAAATCGGAACCCTCGTGTGTCACAGCTTACAACAGTGCTTTAGTACTACAAACCTAGAAAATTGGATGTCTACATTTAAGACTTTTCTTGCAGAAGAGGAAGTGGGAAGAATGTCATTAGTAGTTAATGTCATAGGACATTAACTACTGGTTTTTTCCTAGTTGAATTCAGAGCTACATATTCTCAAGATTAAAAGCACTTGCATGCAAAATAAAAATACAAAATAAAAAGAGGTTCTTTTCTTGGCATTCATTGCATCTAATCATTCCAGAACAAAATCAGAAATCCCTCTTCCAGATTTCTTTCTTGCTTTCTTTCTTGCCACTTCCAAAACATACCTTTGCAGTACCAGCATATTGCAATGTGCTTCTTACAGGATTGCCAGAACCAGCACAGCCAGAACCACTTTCACTATTAACTGTAGCAGCAGTACTGGATACTGCCATACAAGCACTAATGTGCCATAACCAGAGTGAAACTCTTATAAGAGCATAAAAAGATAAAAAACCACAGGTTTTCAACAGGAGACTACAGATGCAGGGAGCTACAGAGAATTTATTTTAACACAACATGTTTCATGCAACGTAAAATTCAGGAGTGATGAGACTGAAGCAAGAAGCCTATTAAAGAACATCTGCAGCACTAGATATACAGATAATAAAGCTGTGGGTAAGTAGCAAAGATGTGAATAAGATTACAATAAAGACGGAATCTGCCATCAACTGATGACGTTGCAACATCATGACGTTACAGGAAGCAGAAAGAAAAAGTTTTGCAGTGGTCAGATGACACGCTTCAAGAAGAATTCAGGTGCTAGTGAGACAGGTGGCCTGAATTAAGGACAACCCGGGAATAACTGGCATGACTTACAACCACTGGATGAAAAAGAGTTGCATATAAGAGCCTAGAGGTTAGACTCTAGGCTCCACTTTGGCTATAGTGGCTGGAAAGGACAATTCCATATGAATTGCATATGAACACAAAGGTTGTAAGAATAAAGTCACAACTTCTTTACATAGTTAAGTACACTGATGTTAAGATAATTTGTTACAAAATCCTGTCCCAGGAACCATATTAATCTAACTACATCTCCTTTAAATTATGTTTTTTCATCACCTTGATGTAACATCTTGACTCAGAATACATACAACTGTAGTTCAATAAAGAAGAGCAAATTGACATAACTGCTCTTTGTTTATTTAAATTAGAATTCAGAAATTATTGTGTAGCTAACTATCTTCATAGGAGACAAACAGCCACAGTGTGCACAAAGCATTAATAAATGTCCTTTAGAGATAAAAAAGGATTCTCATCCTAGTTGGCATCTTCTGTGGAAACTGCTGGAGTCCTACAACATCCACCTTTCCTAGAAGGCAGATTGGTTCTGATAAAACACCAGAGATTCAACTGATCGTATAAAGAGCATTTGGTTTATTCCAGTAGCATTGTGAATATAGAATACATAAATTTTCCACCTATGATGCAAGTTCAACTCTTCACAATTGGAGGGTCAATTTGCAATATAGCGCATACCACCAAATGGCATGTAAGGGCATGACTCCTTGGGATATGGGCAAGCCAGGTTAAAAAGGGGATGACCAAGAAGTCATTCAGTTCAGAAGCTGTCCTGCAAGGGAAGTTTAACCCTGTACATTCAAATGCTATTGAAACATACCCACACACACACACAAAAAAACAAAACAGTTCTTGAAACATTTATCAGTGTTTCCTAACAGCCATTTAAGGAGATGGTATTTTACCCATTTGACATCTTTACAAGCTAGAGATCAGTGCTAATCACGTGTTGACCTTTACTGTAAAGCATTCCACCTGCAAATAAGATGAGCCATACTTTACTAGTTTAC